GAGAAGAAACCAACCAAAATCCACACACAAACCCCTGTACCAACAAAACACACACACAAAAAAAAAAAACCCCACAAAAAAAAGCCAAAACCCAAACAAAAACAACAACAAAAAGAAAAACCCAAAAGACCAAAACCCAAGAGCAACCAAGCAAACAAAAAAAAAAAACAAACACAAAAAATCCCAACCCAGTACTGTCCCTCCACTGCCAGCAAATGCAACTCTTGTGACAACTTCATGTTATCCCTGTCTGGGCTGTTGTCTCCCAGCTGAACCTTGCTGTATTCCTTACTGGAAGGTTACAGTCACAAGTAAATTGCAGTTTTCCCCCAGAAGTATGAAAAAAGTTCACACACCTAAAACTTGTCCGATTTTTTATTCTGACTGCATATGCATCCAATCTGCCACCCACAAAAATCTCTGCCTCACTGATACCCATAAAGGGCCAAAATGAAGTTTGGGGTGGCATCTACCTTCCAAAGCCTTCCATTTCCTAGCCTGACTGGTGACCTAAATAAAACTTTTCAGTATTAGGTTTTTACAAGATGTAATTTATACTATGGCTGTCAGGAGTTAAGATAGTAGTTGCCATGGAGCTTTAATCTTTTTTTAGGCTTTAGTCAAAGGAAGCTGGAAATCAGTATGCTGGGTAGAACCCTGCTCAATAGAGTTTTATTCAAATTGGGGCAGGATTTAATCCTAATTTTTCTGCTGAACATTAGTATCAAAAGTTCTAGAATTCATTCTATTTTCTTCTCTTTTGAGATTCTTAAGCCACATTACATTCAACCCAAAAAGTACCTGAATTGCTTCCCCTCTATTCCTTCAACTATAAACTGTAACTTTCTTCTAATCTTCATGTGCACAGCTAATCACTGTAGTGAAATTCATTCACCAGTTCTTTCATTTTCAGTGGAGGCATTCTGTATGTGTATGAAAGCAAAGCTTTAGGGAGGATTTTATTTCACACACTAAGCACTAATCTCTACACTGGAAAACAGGCCTTTGAAACAGAAATTACAGTTTGAATCTGTGTCTATGCTACTTATAACTTCCTTGATGTATATTTAAGAAAAAAACCCAAAAGCATACAATGCATAAAATGTGTCTCTGAGCAGTACAGAATTGGCCAGCAATGCTCTGCTGGAACACAGCTGCAGCAGAACAGAAATGCAATTCAGTTTAATACTTGCAGTTAAAACATGCACTTAAAACTGAACTTGCCCTAGATGAGGTAAATTAAAATGCAGATCTAGATAAAAAATGAATTTGTTAAAATGAGCTTTTAGAAATCTTACTCACCAAAAAATTAGAAAGGATTCAGATGCAATCTTAACTTGACCTTGAAACTAGGATTGAAAAGCACATGGCAGCTTCACTTAATGAAAAATTTCCCAGAATTTTCACTAAATACAACTGTTTGTTGCCCAGCTGTAGTGGCACTCCATAATTCTCAAGCTGTTCCAAAGACTGCAGAATAATCAGAAAATTGTCACAGGAGAGAATTTCAAACTCCTTTCAACTCTTTCATGGCATGTATTATAAAAGAGGCAGGAAAGAAAAATACATCTTTTCCCTTCTACAGTATGTGTGGGACTTGAAAACTTGCACATTAACATCTGTTTCTACCACTGCTAGCAAAATGTCTTACCTAACTAGCATTGGCCAGAAAAACAATTGTGGGTTTGAGTGAAAGCCCTGCTCATCAACTTCAGAGGATCTAATGCAAAGACCTGTGGTATATTTTTCAGTCTGAGGTGTCAATATCAAAGACTTGCAGAGCTGCTGGAATTGAGACCTCTTAACAAAAGAAATATATATGCAGATAAGAGGGAGAAAGAAGTCCAAGCCCTTAACTTGCTGGTGTGGCCAAACAGCTCATGTGAATTCAGACAAACCATAGCAGTTTCCTTAAAGGTGAAGTTAGAGACTTTTAAATGAAGAGTCTTCAAAGTTATGAAATGCCATCTTCTTTAGACAGGCCCATCTCAGCTCTAAAAGGATCCAAAACAAAATCCTTATATAAATTCAGGGAAGAAAGGGGCATTTCCCTTACCTTTATTCTGAACCAGTTTCAAGACCTGTCAGTATCACATTACCATTTCTGAATGTGTAGATTAGTTGAAGCTTGGCAGTGAAATACAGTTAAAACTAGTTTAAATACAGAATATTATCATAGTTTATCATAGTGCTGCAGATATCAAGATGGCCTTACAATATAGATGACAAGTATTAAATTGCTTGTTGTGCTTTCAAAACAGTATGCTTTCTCTTGTGTGCATTTGTGTTTTGCTTTAAGGCTTATTTCATCCAAATTAATCAAACCAGCCCACAGGACAGTGATCAAGAAACATTCTTACTCCAATAAAATTTCTTTTAAATAGCTTATTGGGGTCATTTTGCTGCTGATAAACTTGCATTACTTCAAAACTGAAAGGCGAAAAGAACAAACTTAGAAGTGCACCATTTTTTCAAAAGCTCCAAGAAAACAAGATGTAACTAGGCTGAATTAGGATGCAGCATTGATTTTCAAAAGAGAAAGCAGTAAACTGTGTAGTCACATATACTACTATCAACTTCCAAAGTATGCATTGCCCTGATTACATTCTTTTTTTTGCAAGAAGACAGACTTACTTCATGAGACTCAATACGTATCTTGAATACTGGTTTAACAGTCTTTACTTTTCATTTTGACTTCACTAGTGAGGTTCATCCCTTTAAGAAATGTAACTCAACATTAAGAAGCAACATAAGAATTCTCTACTTACTTTTCTGATTTCATACTAGCCTCTTGTGTGCATCTTCAGCAATTTATCATTGATCTTCTATGGGAATGGATAGAAACCCATAAAATTTAGGTTTGGTTAAAAAAGTGGTGAAAGGCTAGATACCAGATAACATCAGTCAGATATTTTCTCATGTATGTCTTAACAAAAAATTAGCTAGAGCATTTAAAAGAAATAATTGCAGAAGGACCCAGTATATTTGAGACATGCTGCTAATTTGCAATATAAACAGAACTATTGCTACATTTGAGCAATTTCATACATTAGGCCAAGCAAGTGCCATTTCTCAAGCACTATCTTCACTGGAAGCCTTGAGAATTCCTATTCACTACTAGAAGGGTCATTAGAATAAAAGAAAGCATCCCTGCATTAAAGATATTTATCTGGACCACTTTCAAAATCTAAAATTTCCTTTCTGTATCACCCCAACATACACCTCCTACTTCAGCAATTATTTCAGATGAATTATGTAAGGCTCCCAGATTTCCTCTCTGCATTGGAAAGAAGTATTCTTGATTTATGCAGTACAAATTCAAGCAATACTTTTCCAGATAAATCAGTAACATTAATAGTTATAATTTCACTTGTACTTTGTTCTGCAGCTTCAATGCTTACCTAAGCAATGTTTGTTTTTTAATTCTAGGGAGCATTGCCCATTTTAGGTAAACGTTAGATTTTCATGCAATCCTCAGCCTAAGGCTTCCAATCAATCTTCTCAAAAAGGAAATTTGAGAATCCTTAAGGCGTAACAAATAAAAAAGGAGTCAAATGTTCAGAAGACAACTTACTGCCACTTATCTCCAACAGCAGGTCTGATAATTCTCCATCAAAAGCCATGATCCAGCCCCTCAAGACTGTATTTGCAACCTGAGATCAGCTAGTAGGCCTGGAAAGCAAGGTAGGGATAAGATTTACCCTCTATCCCATCCTACTGATGGTCAGAGCCCTTACCAGAGTTTCCTGCAGGAGCTGTTTGCTTACTGTGGTACAGATCTCCCTACTGGAGCACTGCTCCACTTCATAAACCTACAGTTTTAGAGCAAAAATTCAAACATTTGCCTTTCCACTCCCCTGCTACATGCTAACTACTTGCAAATGCTCCATCCTGCTAAGGAATCAGATCATACCTGAGGAAACAGGCTTAGTATGTTACTTACCTTATGATGCTGAGCATGCTGTGCACTGATTTGTGCACCTGGTCTGACAGCACCGAGGCTTTGTGCCCTGCTCTGCACATTCCACCCGGAGCCCCAGCTGGCACAGCCCTCTAGTGGAGATGCAGGAAGGAGTTCTGATGGCATTCATCCATCCATCCCAGCTCCCTTCTGCTCACTGCCTGCCTTCTGGGCTGCTCTCAACTCAGCACAACTGTTTCTAATCGGCCTTGGCCAGAGCTGGTGTCACTTTTCTCTCTGTACTGTCAAGGGACACCTTAGCAGCAAGGGACCTCCAGGGACTTTGAGCCCTTGCAGCCCACCCTCAGGTAACCCCACAGGCAGCCCTGCAGAGCTGCTGCCTGCCTTGCCAAGCCCACCCCAATTCCAGTCTCAAGAGCACTGCTGAGTAGGAACCCTAGGACTGAGCTTTGGTACCCACTCACCTCTCCATTAGCATCTCCCATTACAAAGGAGCAGCAACAGCTGTTCTCATCTTTTTTTCCACCTCCTTTAAGGCATGGGGGTGAGGAAGTTCACTTTTAACTACCACCCAAGTAGTGTTTAGATACTACCAGCATACTCCAGGACAAAGCTCTTACATCACCTGTCAGAAACCTGCTGGGATTTGTCTATTGGCTCTGTGCCATGCATGCTTATGTTTTGTTAGTTTGTATCTATCAACTTTTTATTGAAAGCTTCTGCCTTCAGGCTTTTAAGGTAGTTGCCCAAGTGCAAGAATTTTGGTGCTGTGCCTAAACCCAGGTCTGGCCACATGCACACACAAATCCTACTTGAGGAAGAGCAAAGTTTACACCCCAGAGAATACCAGTCATGATTCAGCTCTCAACAGATGGATTATAATGAAGATTCCATCACATTTCCAGTTGCTGTTCCCTGAAATGTTAATATGCCCTCCTCTCAAGGGATCCTGCCACTTCAAGGCTTATAGAGAGATCATGTTTAATGATAAAGACCACATCGGGATGCTTGACAAAACCTATTATGAAAAATTGAGTATACACCATAATTATATCATACCCAAAAACTGACTCCCAAGTATAGTCACAAAGACAAGAGTTTAATGTTGGCAAAAAAGAAAAGTTTAAGTTAGTGGTATTTTCTTCCTTGCAATAACATACTGTTCATATGAAAGTCACTGGAGAGGTCTGCTTATAGCTCGGAAGACTTTTACAGTTACAGCTGAATTTAAAACCCCTAACTCCAAACATGTGATGTTAACACAAAAACTGAAAATGTAAAACTTGGGATAAAGAACAAACTCAGTTGTTAAGATGCTAGCAGAGATATGAGGCCTTTCAACCCCTTTACCATAACATGAGAAGTTCTTCAGTATCTTTCCCACCACCATTATTTCAGGATTCACAAGGTTCTTTAAAATAGTAAAGCAAATTGGAACCAAGCGTCATCTGCTTGTAATGTCTTCTGTGAAAGGTCTGAAGCCACCCTGTTTCAATTATTTGGTTATTCAGTGCAGAAAGTTAAAGATCACAGAAGGTATAACAGTTTTTAATATTAATATTATAGATTAAAAATTATTGCATAGTCTTATGCATTTCCTAAAACAATGTTCTGTGGAAATGAAACATTTTAATATAAAAGGAGCAACTCTTTAAAACATAAATTGCTTTCACTACCTCGACCTCCTATCTTTTTTTGATTTGTCAGTACATTTGTCCATCGTTTTCTCATTGTCTCCTCTGCACTTGGGGCAATACCACTTCCCCTTCGGTTTGTACGTCAGTCCAACACAGGAAAAGTGGAACCACTCAATAGGGCACTGTTCATTGTCACACCCTATCATTTCGCCGTAAGACACTTGGCTGCATAAGCAGTAAGTTGGTTCATTGGGATCAATTACAAATTCTACAGGTGAAACCTCTCTCTCCTGTTTGGCTTTGGAGCGTTTTTTCTTCTTGGAAGATTTTGATCTTTTCTCTTTCGGCGGCTGGTCGTCGCAGTCGTCGATGCCGTTGGCTATGTGGCACAGGTCGCGGCTCTCGCTGGTGCGCTGCCGACGAGGCCTGCGCGAGGATCTCTCTGGCTGGCACGCCTCCATCTTGGCCTTTTCTAGAGGCTTTTCATTCTCAGCCAGCTCTTGGAAACACTGAGAGTGCGTCTCCATTTGACGGGCTCTGTTCTCTACCAGTTCTAGCATCTGAGTAACTATTTGAATTTTTTCATCTCCAAGTTCTTGACTGTTGATTAATGCACGCTGAAGATGCTGCTGCAAGCGTTTCTTCTGAACAGGATCGTTTTCTGACTTGTATTTTTCATAGACATCATCGATTTCTTTTAGCGCTTCTATAAAATAAAAATAATGATAGGAATAATTACACAAGATGGAACATGCTCAAGAAAACAAAAACATTCTCTAACTGATGAGAAATACTACAAATCTTAATTACAGTACACCCTAGATATCATTTAAGTGCATGTGGTCATCAAATCAGTGTTTAAAGTTACAATATGTTGCAAGAAAATATTCTCATGTTCTAAGAAAGAGCAAGCTTATTTTAGCCATTGGAAAAAGAAAGGATAATACAAGAGAGGGGACACAGTAGTTGTTGAGGCATGGATAATCCAGATCCTCCTTCCATTTGAAACAGGAGGAGTTTCTCCTAAGAGTCCTTACCACAATAATTCCAAACTCGTCCAGCAAACCAAAGCAATTGCTTATTTTATCACACGAAGAATCCTGAAATTCATAGAATTGTCATATATCATGATATATAACACTCCAGAATTAGTTCATCCAGGTCCTCTGCCCTCCCCTCTTACTCATCTCAAGGTTTGGCATTACATTTTCAAGTAGACACAGTTATAAAAGGAATATGACAACTGAAGTTACATAATAGCAAATTTACAATCAGAATGAAAATCAACTTACACCCCTCAAAATACTTTCCCTATTGCCAAAATGAATTATTTTAAATCGGGGTTGAACTTTTCAGAATAGGCGACCTTCTCTTTAGTGCACCATAGGGTATTTTTAAGCAACTAGTAAATGAGTGGCTCACAGTTTGATTTCCAAGCTTCCCCTCTTCCAAGTCACGCAAAATAACTGCATGAGTTGCTGTGAATCTTTCACTAAATTTAGTTATAAGAAGCAAGTTGAATGAACCCGAATATGAGATCAACGTTTTATAAATCAGTCTTCGTCTGTACTCTGCTGTTCTGTATTGCTGGATTTTAAAATTACTTTTTCCAAGGCAAATGTTACACTAGATCGACACATAAAGGACAGGGAAACTCCAAACGGGGAAGGAAATAATTAGAAGAGCTGGCAGTGAAACTTGATGTACAGTGTTAGGTACAGTACTGGTTCAGTCATCACACCACAACACGTCAGTAAGAACCCAGGATTTTATTTGAACAGGTAAGGGAGTTTATAAATGGTATTAAACTATTTACTTCTAAAGCAGAAGTTATGCAGTACAATCTACCTCTTCCTAAAGACCTGCATTTAAATAATTTGCTTTCATTTTAAAAGAATTTGTCTGCACTGTTGTGAATTGATTCAAGCTTGTTATCTCAACATCATTCCTAGTGATATTTCTTTCCCTGCTAATATCTTGGAACAGTAGCTTAAGCATGAAGAACTGCTTTTTGCTACAAATTCTGAAATGTGTATGACAACAGGAGCCAACTGCATTTTGTTCTGTTCCAGATTTTCACTATGGTAATATAAAAATCACTTCTCTGGCCTGTCCAGTAACTCAACTTGTATTTTCTGTATTTTAATATAAGCATTCCAGCTACCATTTAAACCATAAGCTTTATTTCACTACACCTTCAGCTGCATCACTTGCCTCTGGCAGTGACAAGAGAAATAAAATTTTTAAAAACCTTACTCTCAGCTCCTGAGAAGCATGGAGTAGGGTACTTTGTATGTTGAACAAGAACGGCATAAAACCAGAGTACAATATTGTACAACGACACAATCTCCCACCCAGACTTCTTTTTTTGGAGGCAGGAGTGTAGGTACAGATAGATGAGCTAGATTTCCCATATTGAGAATGCCCTATGGAGAGCCATTCACAAACAATAGCTGTTCACTCGTTCATACTGTGACACAGAACAACATTCATCCTACATCGGTTATTGCCTGGATGCAGCCTGTGAGGATATGCTGAACTTTACAGGGATCAACATCCACTACAGAACGCAAAGAAGTTTTGGACTGACAGAGATGGAAGTTTACCAAACTACTTGTAAATCCCCAAAGATTAGACAAAGCATTCATATACCCTAATAAACAGCTCTGAAACCTCTGTGAAAAAAAACAAAACAAAAACCCCAAGCCTAACCAGGGCCAAGTGTTCATTACAGATAATCTGATTAAGTTTGGTGGAGCTAATAAAAGCTAAAACGATTTGTTTTCTAAGCACAAGAGTGACTTTTTCCCTTCTCCACAGACCACTATTACCTTTTAAATTAGCTGAAATAATATAGCATTGCTGTTACATTTTTAGACTTAGGTATAAAATATTTTTATCCCATTTTTAGGGTTTTGAAGATGTTTTGTTGTTGTTGTTTTAAACCAGTTGAAGGCTTTGATTAAAACTAGCAACAAATTTATTATATGACCCAGTATTGGTGGCTGGATAAACAGTCAGTAATAAACAGTCTAAAGAAAATATTTAATCTATTAAAGTCTGAGGATTGCTGGCTAGTCACCATCGATCAGGAGGTAAAGAGCCAACCTTGACTAGGAATTCAAAATGCTGCAGGCAAGTCTATGCCATTTAAACTTTAAAATCCCAGGCAACTTACAAAAGCCTGTTCTTATGTGTTTGCTCGGGTAATTAGAAAGATAATTGAGAGAATCTCTTCACAACAGCTGCCTCCTGAGGTGGCCCTTCAGCGTTTGAGAGGCCTTGCCGGCCCCCATGGTCCCTCCTGCCCACGCCGAAGGAGGGAGATGCGGCTCCGGTGCCGCTGCCCGGGATCAAATTCCTGCCGCATGGCAGGGCCGGCTGGCAGCTGCCGTGCCCCGCAAACTCCGCGGGGCGCAAGGACTTCCATCGGCACTGAACCTGCCTCCCGCAGGAGCCTTCGGGTGAGGTTCAGGGCAACTTCCCGCTCCGCATCCTCCCTCCACGACCCAAGGGAACGCGGCTGGCGCTCTATGTATCCCCGCCCCCACCGTGCCTGCGGTCTACCGTGGGACGGGCGCTGGGCTCCGCCGGGACGCCGCCCCCCGGCTCCGCACGGCGGGAGGAGCTGCGGGGAGGCCGATTTCCGGACCGCACCTCCAGCGGCAGCGCCGCCGGTTCGGGCAGCAGGGCAGCCCGGCGGGGCGGAAGCGACCCCAAACGGCGGAGCCGGGGCCTAGCGCCGGGCAGCGCGGCCCCGAGGCGGGGCGGCCTTCCCCGGGACCCGCCGGGAGCCCCGCGCCCCCGCAGGCTCAGCCCCGCGGGGCCCCAGCAGGTCTCACCCCGGCCCCGGCTCCTCCGCGCCGGGCGCATGTGCGGCGGGTGGAGGCCGTCCCCTTTCCCCTTTTCCCCGCCGCCCGGTGCCCCGCGGCGGCGCCCACCTTGGCACTGCGTGTCCATCTCCCGCAGCAGCGAGGCGTTGCGCTGGATGTCCAGCGGCAGGGACTCCACGCACTCCAGGTAGTCCTGCACGTAGAGCGAGAGCAGCCGGGCCCGCTCCCCGCCCGGCGCCGCCGGCCCCGCCACCAGCTGTGGCCCCGCCAGCATCATCCCCCCGCGCCAGCAGCACATCCGCCGCCGCCGCCGCGCCGCCCGCACCGGGAGCGGGGTCCTTGCGGCGGCCCCGCTCCCTTCTCCGTCTTCTCCTCCTCCTCCTCCTCCTGCCGCCGCCCCGTTGCCCTGGGGCGGCCGCGCCCGGGGGGCGGTGAGCGCTCGCCGGGCCGGGCCGGGCCGGGCCGGGCGGCTACGGCCGCCCCTCCGCGGGGTCCCGCGGGTCGCGCTCCCCTTCCCGCGGTGCCGCCGCCGGAGCAAAACCCCCGCTCGGCGCCCCCGCCCCTGCCCGGAGCGCGCATGCGCGAGGCCCTGCCCTTATAAGGCGCGGCCGGCGGCGCTGCCAGGGGTTCGCATTCTCCCGCCTTCCCCGGGCGCGCGCTCCCATTGGCCCGGCGTGCGGCGAGGGGCGGGAGCGCGCGCGGGGGGCGGGGCCTACCATAAAGGCGCCCGGAGGCTCCGGCGCTTCCGCGCCCGGCGGGGCCGCCCCGCGCCGCGATCCCGGTCCTGCCGCAGCGAGAGCCGCCTCATCTGTCTTCAACGGAGAGCAAAGAGGATTCGGGATGAGCTAGTATTTAGGGAAGCTGAGTGACAGTTTTATCCTGAGAAATAATTTCAAGAGTATTTTAAATAAGGTATCAACGAACTTTGGCCTTTTCAACGCCGCTCGCCGAACAGCAAATCTCGAAAATTTGACAGAGTATCCTGTCTTTCCCATGCCAGTTGTAGAATTTGTATCAAATCTTGGCCACAACAATTATAGTAGGAAACAAAAGCTAAATTATGCTTTTTGACTATATACTAAAATGTCGAGATTTCATCTCCATTTCTCTTTGAGGCATTTTTCAGGTCTTTACTACATGAATAATAATTGGTAAGCATCAGGAAAAAAAATTCATTTTGCTGAGTCTTCAAACACCCCGAGGAGACCTGTATATTTTGCATTGTTTCATTTATACTTTAGGCATCCAAAAAGATATCAGGGGAAAATGCACATGGTAAATGTAGCAAAAAACAACCAAACAAAAAAACAATCAGAGATGATTGAATTCAGTAATAAAATTGAAAAGAAGCAAATTCAAATCCCCAGACTCTCTTCTGTCTTACATTCCTACCTCTAGTTGAGTAGCCAGCACTAAAAGAGTACCCATAGTAATCTTGTAGATAGCATTTCAGGATGGCAAGATCTGGAGTACTGGTGAAGCTGCAGCACAGGTTGCACAGAGAAGTTTCATAATCTCCATCCTTGGATATTTTTCAAGCCTGGATGAGGCCTTACACAACCTGATCTGGCTGTGAAGCTGGCTCTGCTTTGGTGGCCTCCCAAGGATCCCATCTACCCTCTTTTTTCCTGGGATTCTCTCTTTGTTTGGTTTGTGCCAAATAGCTCCATGGCTACTCCTACAAGAAAATTAATATCTCACATGATGGCAGTCTGCAAGTGTTATTTTCTTAAGACCCTAGTTCACAGAACTATTTAAACATTCCTAACTTCCAAGTCTCACAGCTGTAGGCAGATGTTCTACATGGCAGGGATTTTCATATGTCTATGTCCAAGCTGTTGAGTAATTGTAGCTGCAGTCAGTCAGCTTTGCCCAAGTCAGCAATGTGTTGGCAAGGTCATAAAAATGAATGAAAAAGTTGTAGACAGTACTTTCAAAACATCCTTCACTACACTGATGTCACTCTGGCCAAAAACCAGGAAGTCTGTAATTTTGAGTGTTCATGTTCTTAAGAGGGCGCCTTCAGCTTAAAATGAACAGTTGAACAGTTTTAATTTACAGTGTAACACCTGTAAAACCAACTGTTTGGGGGTTTTTTTGGTTTTTTTTTTTTTTTTTGTGCACTGTTACAGCTCAGGTTAATGAGGCCTCAGATAATTTTTTGCTACTTGTCTCATTTTTGCACAAATAGATTCAGCAAATGGCAATAACGTGGTTACCTTGGCTTCCATCGGCACTAACTCACTGAAACTTTCCTGTGTAGTGGTCATTGCTGTCACTTCTGAGTGACTGAAGACTGAATTTCTTGATATAATATTAACAGATAACACTTATGCCAGTGAAAATTACCTGGATTGATATAATTGATACAATGTTCTTGAGAAAGGTGTTGGCTCTTTTGAGGGGTTGTGTTTCTGCTTATAGTCAGTTTGAATAGGTGTAACATTCTGCCATCTCATGAAGAAATAAAGTTAAGAAACAGGAAATTCCCCTACAGAGCAGAAAAAACAAAGCAAAAATGTTAATTCAAAATTAACAATATTTAAAATTAAATAATAATTATTATTAAATATTAATTTAAACCAAACATTTTGGCATAACTTTTTTTTTTCTCACAAGAAACTGTGCATGCACTGTCCATAAAGAAATAGCCAAGAAAATAATGCATAACATTTGTTACAGGTGGTTTCTGTGCTAAAAGCTTGCTGTTTGTCACTATGGGGGAAACAGTAGCTAAGGTACAGCAGAAAATAGCTAATGAGTTCTGAATTTAAGTGTTATCTGCTGCTTTCAAACACTAAAATAAAAATTTTAATTTTGGGGAACCTCAAGAATGCAGCAGTGGCAGTGAACCAGACTTCCCTAGGAAAAAGAAGCCTTAGCTTGCTGCATGTTTGAAGCCTCAGGGGAAAGGAAAGCAAGAAGAGCTGATTGAATTCCCTGCTTTGCTCATGGCTCAAAATGGCTAGGAGCAAGCACAGGAGAATTTTGATGTATTGGGCTCAAGTTTGCAGGTTGATTGATAGCTCTGAGAACCAATTGTGTCCCTTCTTTCACTGTCTGTATGTGAGAATAATCAGGAGATAGGAACAGGCATGGTAGACCAAAACCTTGCTAATTGTAGAGATGGACAGGCAGAATGATCATATATTTGCACCAACCCTCTCTGCTAAGTGGGAAGCTGTCAGCTTGAGGTTGACATACACAGAGATGTGATATTAGGGTGTATTGCATCACATATATCTCAGTAGTTGTCCACCAATGGTAAGTAATACAGAGAACTATATCCAGTTTATCTAGATTTATTTATATATCTCTAAGCTATTCACAGCTTTCAGGAAGAATAGATCCCAACAGGTTTTGTTTCTTTAAAAATTACCAGTACAGGTTTTTAAAGTCCAAACCAGAGTATTCCCCTTCTTTTTGTGAAAGATTTCATTATATTACAGATTTTACTATGATAAAAATATTTCCAGAAATTTAATCCAACAGTTATTTTCCCCAATTAAACTTTTGCCTCTCATCTTTCATAATCCTGATTTTAAATCCTCAAACCACCGATGACTCCTATCCTGTTTCACATAATAATGCATAAGTTGGTTAGGTTGGTTTGGTTTTTTTTTTTTTTTAGTTTTGGTTTGGGTTTTTGTTTGTTGTTTGTTTGTTTTACTTTGGTAAGGGTTTTTTGATTTTATTGTGTTGGGGGGGGTTGGTTTGTTTGTTGGATTCGGTTTGGATTGGTTTGGTTTTGGTTTTATTTGGTTTATTTGGTTTTGTTTGGGATTGCTTTTTTTTCCCCCTTGCTTTTTATTGATAACCCAGGAAGCTGTGGAAAAAGAAAAGCAGCATTATTGATGAGGACAAGTCCATAGGGGGCTGTAATTGTGGAAGACCTTCTTAGCATTTAGTAGGAATGCTCAAAGGATGACAACAAGGTCCTTCTTTTAAGCAAAAGAACTGATTTTTGATGATAGATATTTCTTGTCAGAAATGCTTCTCTGTCTTCCATGGGATGAAAAGCATGAAGAATTATCTGAGATACCATAAAAATAAATAGATTTTAAACAGAATGAGTACAAGCCAGATGGGCTTCTTAAGAGTCAGCTGAAAGAAGCAATAGGCCATAGCAGAGTGTTGTACAGCTGATATTTGGGGAAGAGCCTATCCTTGCCAGAAGTACTGCTGTGTTTGACCAGGCAAGCTATTCTCAAAAGCTTCTCTGACATCAGGTCATCCAAAAAAGATACATCCCTGTAATGCCAGACATTGCTGTTTGCTTTCTTAAAATATTAGGCTTGATTTTTCTGGTGGAATACAAATCATATGAATTCATCCCCCCACGTCATTATTACTATTTTTCTCTTTCATTTACACAAGTGTAGAATACTTAAAAATAAGACATGGGCTGACAACAGATAATTTCAATCAGATGATAAACTAAACAGTAGATTTCCTGAAAATACTGGGATGTGCTTTTTCCCCTGTTAGCTTTATCCTCAACTGTACCAAAGAGCTTTCTAGTACCAAGTGACAAATATCCTGCATTCATCAGGAGATGTATGTTCTTCCTTATCCACAACATTTACTCTGTTTTCTGCCAATATGCTCTAATAGAAAATCTCTTCCTGAATCTTAGTAACCAGTTGACTTGTATTAACAAGTTGACAGGAAAGAGGGCAACCACAATATCCTGCTCAATTTTTCTTTAAGCAGATAGGTTCTACTAATTTCACCATGAGCAGACTGAAAAGGGGACTAAAAAGTGCAGACTAAGTATACTCCATGCTTTGTTTTGTAATAACTATTTATTTATTTATTATGGTTCTTCACATTTAGTTTCCATACTCTAATGCCACAGCAAAACGTGTTTTGAGAAATTGGTAGGTCCAAGGCAAGACATGTTAAGAAATTCACTTATATATGATTTCATTGCTTTCATGAGGGCACACTCATACACTGTCACTTTGTTTTGAGTAGAACCACACTGCTCCTTTTAGAGGCTATCAGCTCTGTTTGGAATACCCTCCGGAAACCAGCAGGGGCTGGACACCACCAGCTTCTCACAGGTGCTATGGAGCATGCTTGGCTGGCATAGGAAGTGCAGTTCCTCAGAGGAGGGGGACAGTGCTGATCAGCTGAGCACATGTGAAAAACACATTCTTACTTCTTCCTTTTGTGAAGAACATATTTGCACAAGTGCACCTTTGTAATCAAGATTATTAAATGAGGGCAGACAGTACACCTGCAGAAACTTTCAGTAGGTGAAGGTTTAAGACATTCATAATACTCTGCTATTTG